TGAATCTATAATATACAGAGACGCGAGCGAACGAATCCGTAATTTTTACCGGATAAACGTATTTACGGATACAAATGGCATGAACGTCGACAAGTAACACATATCACAGTAAACACAGTAATAGGTGGATGTGCCGAGGAGAAACTGGAAAAGGAAACGTTATCCCGCCCGATAATCGTAAGATAATCGATAAGCTGCACGCTGTCGTAATAACTTCGTCGTTCGATTCGCTGGTTTAGCAAAAACGTATGGTCTAAACCTATAAAATATATCCAATGATATATATATATATAATATATTTATATATGTATATGTACGCGTGAAACACTCCGACAACTTACAGTGGCAATTATTGCAATATATAATAATATATATATATGTATATCTATATTTTTTATATTTATATATATATAATCTTTGAATCTCTCTTTTCCCATTTCTCAATATATATTTATCTTACAATCAATATTACTTACATAAACGTACATGAACGTCCACGCGATTCTGTGCATTGCACCTTAAAGCTCCAACCGCCTCGCAGGCACACCGGGCGTGCGTGCGCCGCACCGCACGCATAGTGCCCGCGTGTTTGCACACGCGGTCGGATTTTCTCTCTCTCCCTCGGGGGTCCTTACATTATCTATACTTACATTGCACAGAGAGTATTTACCGTTTTCGCCTTCCACGCTCGCGCCATGGTGTATGGTCAATTATGCTAATCGCCGACTGTACTTAATCGAAATAATTAATTGAGTACTCCGCATCGCGCGAGATCGCACGTTTTATGTATATGCGCGTACGTGTACGCGAGATGTCCCGTCGCCGTCCCTTTCTCTCAACAGAGACTGCATTCCGCATTAATGCGAATTACGATCTGCTCGTCCCTGTATCCTTCTTTAATACGAGATCGGGAGCACTTGGCCAGTGCCCTTCAATTTTCATTATTAAATGCGGTATACTCTACGATCGATATTAGATAAATATTAATTGGAACCAATTATCGGTATTAATTCTAATAAATATTAATACTTAATAATGAATTGCCGAGCCAAAAGGAAATGTAAAATCGATCTCTGACGTAAAACGAAGCCCTCCAATGTTCTTGTGAGAAAGAACGCGGTGTGAATTCGTGAAATGACTTGACTGTGATGGAAGAGCGACGGGACGTGTTGTACAAAAGTACACGCGGGTTTCTTAACGAGTATTACTTTAATCTTTCATCGTGATCACGTTTACCGCTACAGTGTCCCTAGCATAATTTTTATTTGAGTTACCACAAATCGCAATGGTGCATCTGTGAGCTCGAAAATACGAAATGCGACGAGCGGAAGATGGAATCCGTTCGCGTTGGATTCTGTTTGTCGCGTTCTGCTGCTCGTCAAATTTTCGGGAGACTTTGCACGGCCCTGTGTTTCTATGTGGATTCGACAATTTTACACGGTCGACCGGAACCGGTTTCGATCGGTCTGAACTTACCGCGGAACAAATTAGTGCAAATTGATGTAATTTCGACTGTCCGGAAGAAAGTAGATAGAGACGTTAATTCATTTTATTAGGAAAGTCGCCCGGCTCCTTCGGAAAACTGACAATTCTTAACGCAATGGAGGATAATTGGGGATCTCGAGTGCTCAGGAAAGTTTAATCCAACTCGAACGTAATCCCGTGAACCTTCCTTCAGGTGCTGGCGGACCTTCGCGATCCACGATTACACCGAACGAATGCCTTTTGAATACGCTACACGTACTAACGAGATTCGATCGTGGGCCGCAAAGGCGCTTTTCTATAATTACAGGGGCAGGGGAGGGAATTAACACTTGTATTAATTAAATTAATACTTTATCGATTTACATGTTAAACTTCGTATCGCTAGAGGGGGCCCTTTATTTCCTATCTAACGCTCTCGTAGACCGGCAGCGTATGTTTCGTGTGTACCATGTATACCTGTGTGAGTGTGCGTGCACGCGTGATTATCGCGTCTCCGCAGGGTGTTCGGAATGAAAATTTCACCATTTGACCGGCGCGCTCGATAACTCGCCTAATCAATCGTGGCCGGGAAATTACGCGAGAATACAACGCGAGGCTGCGAAAACGTACGTTTTTCCGCGACGTAGTTTCTTCTCGACTGGAACTCGCGTGCAACGAAAGAAATCGGCAAAACGTGCGAAGTGGAGAACGGGTTTCGAGTACGATAGCTTTTCGCGGGCTCGTCGTTCCATAAAATCGAAATATCGATCGTGCTCGTACAAAGAGATTCCGCTTTGCTCTTCGATCCACGATTTTATCGGATTCGCTGACACACTCGGAGTTCGGCGAACAGAAGGAATGTTTACGACTGCGTTAACCCGAGCGACGTGTGCGGGCATATGTAAATTCGCGCGTCCCCAGGATAAAAAATAGCTTTGAATTTATTCTCCCGTTCCTCCCAGGGATTGATTTTCACACACGTAACTGTTAGATCGTGGGACTTCGGGATCTGCCGCGATACTCTTTTCCCTTGGCAGTTTTAATATGTTTCTATGAAGATGTCACTCAATTTTGATAAGAGCGATTTAACACGATTTAACGATTTAAAATCATCTCGAAGGAGATCTTACAAAATACTTTTTTGATATCTCGAATCAGCGTCGTGACAGTGTCTTCACGGATGGCTATGGTTTTACTCTTCCCGAGAGATATTATTTTATAATAAAGATGTGTATTTCAGCTACGCACCTCTGCTTTATTTCTTATTTGCTAAATCGAAAAACATAGGAGATCTCTTAAAAGAGTTAGAGTATGTTGAGATATCGAGTCTCTTGCGCGAAATATGAATTTTACGCAAATTCATATTTATTATTAATGATAAGGAAGAAAAATGGATGAGTATCGTAAATATTTCAGGACGCATTGTTTTGAGCTTTGCTTACATCCGTAAAAATAAGATTCAACAACGCACGGAGAGAGATAAAGTTTCCTTGAGAAATCCAGTAAAGGATTTCGCAACGAGACGCAAATTTGTGGGATCCAAGCGGGATCTCAAGAACATTCTCCAGTTGAAATCTTGCGCGACTCCGAATTTTGGTATTCGGCGGACTGTAAAATTGAAATATCGACCTGCACTATCAAAATACCACTGCAGGTAAATATTTTAGCTCTTTATTCGTACCGTGGTTTTCTTTTAGACAGCATAAACAGCTCGAAAAAAGATTATTCGCATTTAATTCTATTTTTCAATTTGCGTCCGTCCCAGATTTGTACTACATGAATTTATGTAAGTGTTTTTGTCTTTCTATTCGGAGATGCATTTGATTTTCGTGCGCGAATAACAGACTCGATGGGGAAATCCTTCGGTTTCTCATTTCGCAAAGAAATACAGAAATTTTGTAAAATTGCACAGAAATTTTGAAGAGAGTAGTTTCCGTCGTCGAAACGGGAATCGTTTACCGCGTCTAAGTTTCCGCTAGGAATCCATTTAAGTCTTTCTGGAGAACGCGGAGGATCTAGCCGGCACCAAAGAAGATCCTCGAACCTGCCCCCGGCTTTCGCGACTCGACGGGCCGTAAAATTGGGATATCGACCGATCGGGGCCACGGCGAAGAAATTCCTACCACTGTCGATTTAGGCGTTCACCTGGGACCAGCTGCGTTTCGCGACATCAATAATGTTAAGCAAATACGGGAACTTTCGGCGACGGGGACGTGACGCTCGCGATATTATTGAAACGACATCATATAATACTGACGCGATCCCGGTGTCATTCTGAAAATGATACGCTTGAATTATTTGCCGAGTAAGGATTATAATGTGCGCGTGCACACAGCCACCCTCGAAAGTAGGACAAGACGGTATTAATATTTTACAGAGAAGGAAATAACAGTTCAATTAAATTATCTAATTAGGAAAATGAGTCTCGCGCTATAATAATACTTAACGTTCGCTCTGATATGTATAAATCGCGCGAAATAACGCATGATTACGTAAATTGCTCAATTGGAGAAATTGCGCTGATGTGGTAGTGAATTTTCTCTGCGATGTTTAAATTGCAAAAAATAATAATCTCATAAATTGCAATAATGGCTGCGAAACGATACCTTAATTGAGAGACGCGTCAATCCAAACGTTTCGAAGTGAACTGCTTTTATTATAAACTTGAACCGCTTCGATTTATCTTTAATGAAGCGCCGCGCGATAAATCCGGTATCTTGCTTGATTCACCTGAGAGAATAAGCTATTCTCCGCGTAACTTTGGCCGTGTCAAAATTTAATCCTATAAAACCGAATGTTTATTAAATATTAGAGAATAGAGGGATTTATATATATACAGCGATGTACTGTGCGCGTGTATATTTAAAACCGGAAGTGCATCTCGTACGATTCTCGTTTCGTCGAGATGAGTTTAGCATTCTCTCGTAATCAAATTTCAGTGCTCGACCACATTACCTTAAACGACTAGGATTTTAGTATCTAATAGCTCTTAAGGCTAGAGCTTGTTCTCTCCAAGTCCTAGTTCCGAGAAATGTGTAGTCAATTAACTTTTATAGAATAGCTTGTACCAAGGGCTTGGACCAAAATACAGACCTTTAGTCTACAATAGACGATTTAAGTCCTAAGTCCCCAGAAATTTACCAATCGCAGTCGAGTTATTCTCATTTTCGACTGTACCCACAGAAAAAATTTCCGGATCCAATGCTATTACACTTGAATGTATCATAAAATACGATCGAAATAGCGTCAATGATATTTGTTATAGAGACAGGAATATTTTAATCTTAAATGAAAAATTCTAAAATCTAGAATAAAATAACAGTACGTATCGTCTTTTGTCGAATATCGCGGTGCCAACTTCGTGCGTTGTAAGATGGAGGGAAAATTTATTCCAAACGCAAGAATATATAAACTTACATTTATATATTATAAGTCACTCTCGTCTCAATACAGTAAGTCAATCTTTTTTAATTCGATAGAGGAAAATAAGAATTATTGATTTTATTTTAACATTGTCTCATTTTTATACTAAATGAGGTTGTGAGAAATATAAATGCGTCAAGAATAGTTTTTGTCTCGGCAACAGAAATCCTTTCTAAGGGTGTGTGATTGGTTCAATTTCTCTCATGGCTTAGGGCTTAAATCGTCCACTGTAGACTGGGACTTAAACAGTGGTGCACACGGTAAACTGCTGTTTCGCCATTATTTTCGACGGATTCTTCCGTAGCGCTCACAAATATGTCCAATCGGAAAAACGATACGAGAGGAGCGTGTTCCTGGCACTTTGGGAATATCTTTTGATTACGCACGCCGTAATTTTCCGCGAATCGATCCACGCGAATGTTACGCACACAGGCACAAAGACTCGGCCGAATATCGCCGAATACCGGAAGCGACATTTATGCGCGTTGCAGAGCGTGTCCCTCCCGCGAACTCTCGTAAATTATTACGGCCAATAAATAACGCTCGGATCGATGAGCGATAGCGATCAAAAGGAAACCGTCTCGTGATATATGTGTATCCTGCGCACCCTGCGGGGGTTGGTTGCTCCTTCCATCTCTTAATCCAGACATACGCGCGCTCATGCGCGCGTTGGCGCGTGCATTTGTAGTGTTGGTGTGCCTGTGTATGGATAGTGTAATGTATCATGCGTGTGTTAAGCATATGTTAACGTGTGTCGGTGATGTGATATGTGCGGCGAGGCCAGTCGCGTTCATCCTCTCGTTTCCACTAAAGCACGCTTTCATTTATTTCCGTTAGTCACTCGCTTTCTTCGAAAGTTGGCCACGTCCATAACTTACGACTTTGCGAAAAACGAACCTGTCCGTGAACGGAATCGATTCGGTAATTCGAATGAAATTATGCGCAGTCTCGACTCGTCTTGCGTATTGATATTTGCATCAATTTTGTACGAGGCGAAAATTGCCGTCCCTCGGAACAGAATGCGGAAAATTCGTGCGTTCGAGTTTCGCTGAAGAACGTGTTAAACGATAGGAAAAACTACCTGTGCGGTAGTTAACTTGTGTTTGCTGGAGAATCAAACGCGGGGGGGTGGCCACTTTTGAAGACCGGCGAGTCGCACCTTAGATACTATAATATCACACCTACTTTCATTCTTGAAGTCAAACTTCGCGTCTCCACTTCGGTCACACCTGCCTCCCTGCTCGCCCCGCAACTTTTTTTCTCCCTTTGCGGCTACGCGAACTTTGTTTCACTTTCTCCGCCTCGCACTTGCTCTCACGCGCACTCCCTTACTTTCCTGTCACGCTTGCTCGTCTCTTTTTATAGCGTCTTCTCCGAGTCCTCTCCCTCTCAGGATTTTCTCCCGTTCTCCGCACGTCCGCGCTCGCTTCTCGTGACCAAACCCCTTTTGTCGTCGGTAGCGAAACACGTGAAACGGCCGCGCTGCGCTCGGCCAAGTGAAAATCCGTCGGATTCGTCGGACGATCGTACGTGACGCGCTCGAAGATCGCCAGATGTATCACCGAACTGCGCGTTCGTGGGAGATTGCACGCAATTTCACGATGGAACAATAATCACGCGCGAGAATTTACTTGCGGATAGAATGCCATATTGCGTGACCGATTACATTTTGTAAAAAGAATCGGGGGGGGGGGGAAAAATACGAAAATTGAATTGTTAATTGGAAATTTCCGCCGAACGAACGGTGCGCTGATAATAAAATATTGGTATACTAATTTTGGATTCTATTATACATTATATGTTTTCATTACTACGGAGCGAATGCATCGCTCTGGGTTGGATTTTCGACGTTATTTAGTCATTATTCACGTTGCATGCAAATTGTTTTTGTCGAAATAATCACGAATTTAAACTTTTACGCGATCCTGTAAGGGAGCCTCTCTTTCAATAAAATTATTTGTACCTGCGTAACGGCGCAACCGCGCATTTGCAATTTTACAATGTGAGATACCCGAATTATTAATCCGGTTTTGTTGATGCCGGCACGGCAAATCCATTTATCGATTTATACGTAATTCGCGTTTCGCCGTGGTGTAGTGACTTATACGCGTTTCGGTAGTTAATCTCACGCGTGTCGTAAAACGGAATTTGCACGCGCTGCGCCAGAATTTATATCTCCGCGGTACGACATGCATGCTATATGAAGTACGGCTAGTTCTGTCTAAACCCCACGGCGGTAATTGTCGGAGTATAAAATAGAACGGACTTGATTACGAGAATACAGTGAAACGCGAATTACGCGCGACACTTTTCGAATTTGCGTTCAATTGCATTTGAACGTCGGAAAAACTTATGGTCTTGAGAGCGAATTTAGGAGAGTACGAAGTGTGTGGAAAATTGCAAATGTATCATTCGACAGTTTCGCGATCGCGCTCTCTGACTCCTAACGTTTACATTTTTGAAACCGTGAAATCTGAAAATCATCAATGAGAAGTTCATGACGACTGCGGGCCGAAGTCGAGGGGAGAACTTTAAGGAGCCTCCCGCGGATCTGGAACTCGTTAAAAAGATTGGGACTTAAATATGATAAGGGGAAATCGAAAGGAGATAGCAAGAGAAACCTCCACGAAAATTACGGGAAAACTTTCAAATAAGTATCCGTTTAACACGGGGAATGCCGATCTAAAAAGTCGCTTAAAATATGCGGAGGTGCATTCGTCCAACCATTTCCTACCGAAATTACAGCCACGGAATATTGATTTCAAAACGATCCTCCCACTCTTGATAATATCATACGAAGTGTATATATATAATATTGTATAATATTTAAATCATATCTAACAAGTTCTTGTCACACCCAGAAAGAAGTTTCTTTGGGTCAAACACATTTTCTTGGAAGTTTGACCTCACTAGACTTTTGCTTAATTTCAAAGAAATGATTTTACCACAATTTTGACCGAGGCTGGAACTTCTAAGAGAACTCACGTCTATTTATCCAAATCTAGCCAAACGTTTTAGTAGAAGTAAGTAAAAATTTAACAGATTCGCTCAAAGAAACACGATTTCAACGTGTCTCGTTTGTTTAACCTAACTAAAGCTTTTTTCTGGGTGCACGGCAACAGAACAAGATATAATTAACGTAAAAATATTTCGTGGACCAAATAATTAATGCAGAGTCATGATGAACAGAAATTTATTCTTTATAATCGCTACGATCGTCTTATCTCAACGAGATTTTCCCGCGTGTCTTTCGATGTTTCCTCAGCAATTTGACGACAAGCAAATACGACAGCGATGCGACGCTGAACGTGAAAGCGTGGTTTGATCGAGGGCGAGCTGATCGACCGATTGATCGCCTATCGCCGCTTAATCGCTAAACCTAACTTTATATTTAAGGATCGGACAACTGACACTGAACCTGTCGCGCGTTTCTGGAGCGCGCGCCACAACATAATTCCAATTCGAGGAGGCCGACTCACGCGAGGAGGCCGATAGGTCACGTTGTGAGCAAAACGAGCGCGAGGATCGCTGTCAGTAGTGGAGCGAGGAGGCCGGCGCGAATGCTGCGTGCAGCCGCGTGTATGTCGCCGGCGCTGAGCCTCTGGTTGTTCGCGTACGCCTTCATCACCTTACGATCGACCTCGAACATTTGCGAGCCGACTTCGGTGATGCATTTGATCAAGATCGCCCCGCCACTCGTGAAATGTCGCGGCTCGATCATCAACCGCAGCCCCAGGCTGTTGGGAATCTCTCCGTTGCTCATGGGCTCCAACGGCGGGTGCTGGACTGTGTTCTCGAGTGGTACCTGCAACAGATACGATTGATGCAATTTAATAAAGAGCAATCGCCGGCGATAGAGATCATAGAGATCGAGGTTGCCAGGGTCCACGAAATTCTCTCCGTGGAAACAATGAAGGTAGACGATTGTACGTTCTGGCATTTGACCTTAACGATGGTCGACACTTTCGAAGGCCGGCGATTCTAGCGCGCGGTATAAAGCCTTGTGTCCACGATCCAAGAACTGTGTCCAAGTTCTAGTTCCGAGCTTTTCCGTGAAAGATGCGAGTTGATTGGCTACATTTCTCGGAACTGGAACCTGGACGCAGTTCTTGGATCGTGGACACAGATCGTGGACAAGACTTAAGACTGGGAGCAACTTAGAAGAATTTAAAGCTCGTGGTCTCAGAGTTGGGGCATTGAAATGAGAATGAAGGTGATAAAAATTGTTTTATAAAATCGCGTCACTTGTAAATTCACGAATCATAAAGACTACTTTCTTGTAGACATAAAATGTGTAAAGATCGTCTTGATAAGACAATTACTTGTTTATCAATAGTTTTCAAGAAATGTGATTATTGAAATAATTGGCACGAGGAGATACCATCCAATTTCGAATAAATTGGACAAATAGTTTAATAATTATTTAACTATGAAAAATGATTCTATATATAATTAGCCTTTCACAGCATTTTAAACCGAAAAAATGTTCACCTGCTATGTGGATTATCTCTTTTATCTTGAAATTCTTTTCAACCGTTATTTCTGTAATAACCATTAGAAATTCTACACTATTATTCTGAAATATGGGATACTATAATAACAATATAACAATTATTTAATATATCAGGAAACTTTCCACGTAATTACGTGGTGGATTATATCGAAAAAGGATTAAAAATAGATTTGGGAATTATAATCCCCCTTCAATGATGCTCCTTTATGCAGTGCTCGCATGATCGATTTCGATAATTGCCTTAAATGTTGCCCCTTTTCGATGTCTATTAGGAATCATATTACGCGACGTTAAATATACACGATGGCGCGATGATAATAAGAGGAAATTTCCGCTGAAAGTCGACACACCGCGAATCGTTTGTTACGTGCCGGGCTGCACCGAAAGAAAAGCGGCGGCTGGCGCGGCCGCGGATGAGAAACGAGCTCGCTGAAATTTTTGTCTCGCGTGCTGTTAAAGGCGAGCTTTTCTCTCGGGCCGAGGCGAGAGGGCGAGAAAAATTGGGCTACGTCCGCTTTAATTTCTGACGGCGGATAAATTCGCGTGTCAGATCATTTCTCCGTTCCGTTAACCGAATTTTTTCAACCTATTATTTGCGACTTCCTATTTTACACGGCGCATTGTTCCTCGCGGGCGAGACCGTCGGCTATTGTGCGGCGCGAGAAAATAATCGCTCGCAATTTCGAGTACCAATCGCGTCTTCCGATCTCGCATCTTAAGAGGATCCTAAATCCGCTGGCGAACTTGATCAGTATTGATAAGATATAGGAGACGGAATTAAAACCGTCAGTTATCGACATTTTTAATTCCAAGTTCTACTCGGTCCGAGAAATTTATAGCCAATGAATTTGCAACTTTTACGAAAAAGCAGCAATTTTATTAGCTGCGCATTGCTCAGACCGAGATTTCGGATCGAATTCTAGCTTCGTCAACACAATGGCTTTACTGACAATCTAACGTTTGGCCGTGACCTCTCTCGAAAAAGCCTGCAACTATTTTTACACGCTATACTGCTCTCTTTCTCTTCTTCTGGACTTGCGTTTATTAGAAGTAATCTTTTTTTTAGGCTATCAATCTTAGTTCTAATTGCACGATATTGTTCTTATATGTTGTCCCTAAAGTACGCTGGTCTCATTTTGTATATATTTATTGTAGAATTTTTGTATCAAGCAAATATTGTCGTCAAATGTATTAAAAATTAGTAAAGTTTTAAATTTTCTTTCGGTTTTTATATAAAGTTGACCAGCACAGTCTAGATTTTGCTACGTACCTTAATTCCGTAAAAGAGTTTTGCATTTCTATAAAGCCAATTAAAAGATTACGTCTAACAAAGAATGCCGATAAAACAGCCGGCTTTAGGGTCCCCTTAATCTCGCGATAATCAATGTACGTCGAGTATTTTGACGATTACGCACATTAATGTAAACAAATGTAAACAATTTTACACCGGCCGCGTAAAGTTTCTGCGATTCGCGAATAACTAATGACTAAAATTCCGCCGGGCATTACGGGAGATTTATGTCTCCCTACTTAGAATTTTCTTTCGGCCTCAATGAACAAACTTTCCACAGAAATATGGAGATAGTTTTCCGCAGTTCGCCGCTCCAGTGCGGCGGGCGATATCGTTAGGGGAGTTTCGAAAGACTTGGACAGATCATAGGATCGTCTGCGAAACGCTGCGGGACGCATACATATGCAGCGGACGATCAACGGGCGTTTGGCTTTAAGCGTTCGACGTTAACCATAAGCCGTGGTACGAGCCATGTAACTAATCGAACTAGCACATTGGACCGAGCCAAACTATCGTCCTCGCTTTGTGGCGAGGATCGCCGACTCCGAAGTTAAAGCCCCAGTCCATGGAGAACTACTGTTCGTAGATAATGCTCGGGTCCGGGCCGTCTTACTTACCAATAACTTCCGTATAGTGAAATCGAGAATAATGGACGTTGCATGACACGAAATTTCGGTGTATAAAGCGATGATCGTCGGGCAAACAATTCCCCCTCCCCTTCCCGCGTGAATAAAAATTATATTTGACGAACGTCGAGATCATCGGTCATTTTGCAAAACGATTGAAATGCACAATGTACGCTGATTGATAGTAACGAAAGAATTTGCCGAAACACGTCGCTCTGTAAAACTTGCATCATCGCTGTTTTCCTCTCGTTTCTCTCTCTCTCTCTTTCTCTTTTTTTTCGAAAATACCAGTTGCACGGTAGTTGCATTTTGTTGCTCGTATCCATACCGGTCGTGTCGGGTTTATTGATGCATTACACTGTTTTGTATTTTGCATTTTGCGCAACGCGACGCAGCCGAGTCTCTCTAATGCGCCCGGGGGTGGGGGTTTTAACAAATGTGCCAAAGCTGTTTCAATCGAATTTTATTGGCCTTGGCATCCTTTTGATTTATACGTTATATTACGTTTTATTGCGATGCCGCGCACTCGGAGCCTTTTGAAGGGTGCTTTGCATTTTACGCGGACGTAACGACTATATAAAACGTTGCAGTGTGACGCGCGCGCTTATAAATTTCAACCCTATTAAGTCCCACCTTTTACGCGCGTATTTATGTTACGGGAATTAATTTTGCGAATTTTTTAACTCCGAATGAATTCATTACTGATAACAGATGTATAATAAGCTAATAATGAACGGCTCAACATTATTAAGTGCGCTGATTACACCCGCACGCCTTACATTATTTACAGCTTCCGCTTTGTTTTATCTGAAAGTCGTCTTTTTCCAGCGCTAATTAGCGCGCTAAATATAGTGCCGTTTAATTAAATTCGCATCCCCCACGTTAAAATTTCACCGACATAATGTACGCGCGCCGCGAAAAAAGTGCCGGCGCTAATTACCCAAATCCTTTTCATCGCGGAAACCGCGATTTCGCGAGGGGCCTCGCGACGCTTCCGATTGTCCGAGGCTGGCGGCGCGACGCTGGTCCACCGCACGTATGGGGAGATGCCTTCTTTCTTCTTCTTCTTCCTCGTGTATTAGGCTTAAGGTCTGTTTTATCCAGTTTTCGTTCTGGTACTTTGAGCAGGTGGTTTTTTTTTATTTCATCTTCGGTAGGCTGCTAACCTTGCCGAAGGAAACCTCCCATCTGGAGGGCTATACCCCTAAATAGATATACAGAGTGAGTCGTAAAGGCTGTCCCAATCTTTTATCATAAGAGGTGAATTATTGAGGTGAAAGACCGCGACTGCAGCCAACTCGGGGAAAAAATGGATAAAATCTCCTTCTACATGTCTCAATCATGTAATATTTAATTATTTCTCGAGAAATGTGGCAAGATACTCTCGGTGGTTGCTACTTTCCTTCGGGAGATTCCGAAAAACCAATTCATTTGTTTACTAAGCAGCGCACATTTCTCTGTGCCACACTCGCCACGGAGATGCCGATAATCGTAATTGACAATAGATTTCGGACAGACGATGGCGGCGGCGGCGGCGGCGGTGGCCTCCATAAACCTTTAGCAGGCAGTCGTTATCGGCGACAGGAGTTAATCGTCAGGGTGGGTTTCGTGCTCGCGCGATATTTCAAGGGCGTTGTGTCGTGGCCGCGTCGCGTCGCGTCGTATCGGTTCGGTTCGGCGACGATTGGCCGACGTCATATCGATGATTTATGCACGTCCGTACGGATACCGGAAGATCATTGTTCGTCGTCCGCGCGGCGTTCCGCGCTTCTACGCCGCCGCTCCGCGCGCGCATTGTACGCGCCCTCTCCGCCTTTTCACCGTGGAACGGCGCTCGTCCTGCACGAACAATGTTTGCCGCGCGGGCCGCGCGGCCATAAGGGCGATTTGCCCGCAATTTCTGAAGGATCCCATTGTGCGATCGGCGATCGTGACCGGAATCCCGCGCGGGCGGGCGCGCACCGCGACAATGGGAAACGATTGGGAAACCGTATGTGTAATATGCATTCCCACGAGGAAACACGGACCGCGCCTGCATGCCGAGGATTTTTCGGTATCCAGGCTTCGCGCGTGACGCGACGAGAAACGGGGATACATCCTCTCGGTTACATCCCTTTTTCCCCAATGTGTTTACCACCGCGGCCGCAAATTGGCAAATTTAATTCTTCCCCGGCGACAGCTCTCCGCGAGGGCCGCGCCGCTCGCAATTTTCTAACGGCGCGGGGCATCTCGAATGTATCTCCGCAAATTGAAAATATTAATTATCTCCCGATGGAAACTGCCGCGTCGTTGTCCGCGGCCGGGGAAAAATGGCGCTTCGACGGTTAGCAACGCGAACGGGGACGCGCGAAACAATATTTTATTATTACAAATAT